ATCCAGCCACTCTTCTTTGAGGCGTTCTCAACACGACGAAGAATCTCGATCCGTTAGGGTTTCGGTGTGGTGGGATTTCGAGAAATGTAATTTGCCGGTGGGTACTAATGTCTACAAAGTAGCTCAATTCATCACCGCAGCTATCAGAAACAGTGGAATCAAAGGTCCTGTAACAATCACAGCTTTCGGTGACGTTTTGCAGCTCCCTAGACCAAACCAAGACGCTCTTTCCGCTACTGGAATCAGTCTCACTCATGTTCCTCAAGGTTCGATTTTTTTTCCCTGAAATCTTGTACCTTTTTTCGAATGTTGTTTAATGGTTTAACGAAAAGCTTCTTCCTTTTTTCTGGGTTTCTTCAGGTGGGAAGAACAGTGTTGATAGATCTTTGATTACAGATCTTATGTGTTGGGTTTCTCAGAATCCACCACCAGCTCATCTCTTTCTAATCTCTAGCGACAAGGAGTTCGCAAGTGTATTACACAGATTGAGAATGAGCAATTACAACATTTTGCTTGCGAGTAAATCATCTGCTCCTGGTGTTCTGTGTAGTGCTGCTTCGATTATGTGGGATTGGGATGCTTTGGTCAAAGGAGAGAATGTGGTTGGTAAGCATTTTAATCAGCCTCCTGATGGTCCTTATAACTCTTGGTATGGTCACTATAGGATTCCTCTTCTTGATCCATTTGCATCCACTATTGAGCAGTCGCGTATTGCGGTGGTGCCCGAAGAAGAATACGAGCTTTGTTCTAACTCTGGTTCCGTTAATTTGAATTCTGTTAAAGTTCGTCCTGTTCCGAAAGAAGTTGTTAACAAGATTCGTATGATATTGAGCCTATATCCCAAGGGGGCACCTATTAATGAGCTACGCGCTGAGCTGAATAAGAGCAACTTGGCTATAGATAAAGATTTCTATGGACATAGGAAGTTTTTTCGGTTTCTGCTATCCATGCCAGATGTCTTCCAGGTTAATACAGCAAGTGATGGCGTGTTTATTGTTCGTGCTGTCACCGAGAAAACAACTCCTACGCGACTTGATTCTAGCCCTGGCCTGTCTAATGCTGTTGATCCGAAGGTTGATGGCCTGTCTAGTGCTGTTGATCAGAATGTTAAAGATAAGAAAACTAGTGCTAATGCTTCATCGCCAAAACTAATTAGGAATGTAGAACCTGCTACTGGAAGAAGAGAAAGAGATGTTTCATCTGGAAAGAAGCAGGAAAACGTAACCGAGAGTAATAAACATGTCAAAGAGGAAGCATCAGAGAGTTCCCAAGAGTCCATTCGGGTCTACCAAAAGGATGTTAAGGCTAGTGACAAACCCGTGGAGACGAATCAAGTCGCTCTTATTGCGCGGAGTGATTCTTCCATGGAAGATGGCTTTTTTCAGAAGCTAAAAAGACTATGGTCTGGTTCACCTCAGATGGAACCAGAGCATCTCCCAGAAAAGAAAAGTGCTTCTGGAAGTGGAGAAAAGGACAAAGGGGTTGTTAATGATGGCAAGGCTGAGATTAAGGACTTAAAATCATCGAATCAGGGAACTGATCTCGTGTCTCAAATCTCACCTTCTGTTGCTGGTGAATCTGGAGAGGAGGTAAAAGCAGGTACTGATGAGGTAGGTAATAATGATAAAAATGCAAGTCCAGGCTATTTCAGTCAACTTCTGAAGAGTTTCAAGTTCTGGGGAAGAAACACAGGGATTAGGAATGACTCGAGTGGGACTCAGACGCTAGTCGATGTTGATTCTCAAGTTCATAACATTTTTGCAGAAGAGTCTTCCTGGAGCGAGGTTGAATCTTTCATCAATTCTCCAAGAGGCTTCGTTATTGTTTCTCACTCAAGGACAAGGTTCTTACATTCTCTTCCTTCTGATTTGGATATTGATTACTATGTAAATCTATTTTAGGTTTTAAACAATTACAATTGGTTCTTGCATTAGCCATTGTTGTCTTTCAGGGAAGAGCTTTTGGCTAATGTTGTGTTCTTTTTCAACTTGTCAGGGAAACGATGGCTAAGAATCTGCAGAGGGAAGGGCCTTCGTGTCTCAAACTACTCGATGAATCAAGCATGCTTCATTTAGTCACCTTATTAATATCAGATAAGAAATGGATTGAAGAAAACCCCTCTTCTTCCCTACCATTCAGCATCATCAAAGCCTCGACCCCTAGCCATCGTCATGCTTCAAACGGTTTTAGCTCAATATTTTCGGATTGTTCAAAACTACAGTCTCAGAAACAAGACGGTGAGAAAAGGTTCAAGAACGTTGCTCATGCTGGAGTTTCAGTTGGTTACAAAAGTAATGCAATTGCGGATTGTCAGAAGCTGATGAAGAAGATAACAGAGAAAAACCCTGAAGGGTATAGCCTGATCCGTTTCAGGAAAGACTTCTTAGAAGAATACGGGTACCATTTAGCGGTTGACAAGCTCGGTTACGAAAACCTACAGTCTCTGATACAAGCAATGCCTGGAGTGAGAATATTATCTGGATACATTCTTCCTTCAACTCCTTCACCAGATGCTAAATCTATCAAAGGAGATGAATCAGATTCGTCATTCGAAGAACTCGGTCCAGTTTCTGATGCAACAAGTAACTACCCTGCAACTAACAAGCTTCCAGTGTATGAACCATCTCTCTCAGAGGATGAAGATTCTGGTTCAGAGAGAGACAACACAAAGACGAAGAAGCAAGAGATGAATAAAGACGATAAAGAGAGCTCGTTATTGCAAATTCTGGATTCTTATTACACAAGCACAAGCAAAGATGGGGAAGTTAAGAAGGAGAAAACAGAGGAGAGGAAGCTTGTAAGCAACAACATTAGGAAGCAAAAGCCTTCAAAGACGTACTCTTTTGTTAAAGACTCAGAAGTGTAGTCAAGAATCTCCCGGGAAAATTGGAGTAGTTTAGTTAGCTAGGTTGCGGAAACCGGTTTGAGGGTTGGTCTATTGTAAACAGAATCCGGTTAGTGAGAAAAAAAATGTCAAATTTGGTTCAGATATGGTTAGATTTCATTATAAATTAAAATCTATTAAAATAAATGATTGAATTATTATGAATGGATAATTATCCACGTATTATGAAGTGATAAACATCACTTGCTATATTCAATTAACCTTATCTATTTGTAATATTATGTGGGTGATTGGTTCGGCTGTAGATGTAGATTAATTGCTGTAGAATTTTTGCTGTAAATGTTTGGCTGTAGCTGTACATTTTTTAGGCTGCAGATTTTTTTGCTTTACATATTAAGCTGTAGCTGTAATATTAAAATAAAANCACGATTGGTAACTATAAGATATGTGCTGTAGTTTTAATTAAATTAATTTATGCAAATAAAAATTGTTATAATTTAGAAATTTTATGTTGATTTGAACATAATAAATAATGAACTTCTGAATCATTCATAATAAGTAAAATCATTAAAAAAATTGTATAATCTAGAAAAGAGACTCACTGATTTGATTTGTGGTGAAGAGAAAATAAGAA